GGCCCTGGATTAGGTTCCAGGGTGGACGTTGTTTGCGCTCCTGGGCCGGAGAGTGGCCCCCTCCCCCTCCCCCTCCCTGCTGCCGCTGCTGTTGCCGTTGCAGCTGTCAGGCCAGGGTTTTTAGTGCCCTGCCACCTCGGCCAAGAGGTGCGGCCTGGGCGCGGGAAGACCCCAGTGGCACCTCCTGGTCTGAGGTGTACCGCCGTTTGACGACCACGGAGGCGGGGCCCGCGGCTTTTCCGCCTGTAACCTCTTGGTTGCAGTGCTCTTTGCCGCGGGCACACTGTTGCCGTGCTTGTGAGGGTGCGGGCGCTGGGCAACGCTCCGTGTATTGTCCCTTGGGCGCCGATCCCGAACCCCCGTGCGCCATTTTGGCGAGGGGTGTAGGGCGGTCCTTGGTTTGCTTTCTTTTCCTTGATTTCCTCCCTAAGGCACAGCGTTTCTGGCGCTATTGTGAGTTAGTCAAGGAAAGGAGGCCGGAGGTCAGGTCCCAGCTTGTGTCCGTGATTCCCTCTTTTTGCGCGTGTGCCCTTGGTTTTGGCCGTTGGCCACGTTGGCCGTTGGCCAGGGCACGTTGGCCCGCGCTTTGCTGAGCGCCACGGTTTTGTTCTGCCTTTTGGGCCTGCAACATCCTTCCCGATCCTCCTCGATCCTCCTCCTCGGCCCTCCCCCCCCCTGCCTCCTCTCACTCCCCGCGCGTTCTCGCGCCCTCTGGCTGGACGGAGTGCCAGCGGCGCCCCCGGCCGCCGTCGCGTCGGCGCAGGACGGGCTCGCCCAGCGCCGCCGCCGCCGGCGCCGAGCAGCAGCCTCGCCCGTGGCCCTGGCGGAGGCGCTCGCCGCCCGGGGCTGCCTGGAGGGAGGGAGGCCTGCGTGGATCGGGGGCGGAAAAGAGGGGGGTGATGACTAGGGGGGGGGGTGGATCTCATGGCGGGGGCCATGATATTTCCCCAGATTTCATGGCGCCTCTTCTTGTTTCATCACGTCCCTGGCCCCCCCGCTGGGCCGCAGGCATGCCGCCGGCCATGATTTGCACCCCCCCCCTCTAGGACACCCCCCTCTTGGCCGTTCCCGAGTGGAGGCTCGTCGCAGGCCTCGTCGTCGCCGTTTCGTCGTTTCCCGCCTCCTCCGCCCCCCCCCAATCGAGGGTGGCCGGAGGACCTGGGTACTCCGCGCCCCGGGGCTCCTACAGCGCGCTCGGATCCTACGTCGCAGCTTTCTCCCAATGGCGACCGCTCAGCACTCCTGCCTGGGGACAGCAGGCTCCTCAAGGCTCACCGCAAAAGAGGTGGGGCCGACGTGCTTCCGTGGTGGCCCGCCGTCCGTTCGGCCGGCCAGTGTTTGCGCCACCCGAGTGCATCACTGCCGCACTCAGCTGACCACCGGCGACTTCAGCTTCATCGTTCGGGCGAAGGGAACTATGCACATGCACCGATCGTGGCAAGGCCCATCCTTGACCCAGGATCGGTGCATATACCCTGCTGGCCAAGGTAGAGGGCGTATGCACCGATCCTGGGCTCAGGATGGGCCCAGCCAGAATCAGTGTATGTGCATAGTTCTCTTTCCTCTAATCGTAGACCCAGGTGTGCGGACCAATCTCCTGGGTGAAACGCTTGTCACGCCAGCTGTGCCGCCGAGCCGTAGAGGCAGGGCACCAGCCGCTGCGGCTCCTCATGAGCGAGCTCTGGAGCATCCAAGGAGTTGGCAACGAGACTCAGGAGTTCACCCATTAGGCGTGCAACCCCGTAGCCATCATGGATGATCAGGGCCGAGCTACCATCCGCAGTTTCACAACACCCATCATCAGAGGATCGGGCAGCACCTTGCCTGGTGTATTCGGACTACGAAACACAGAGCTCATGCGCGCTATCCTGGACATGGGCCAGCACGAGCTTATCCCACCAGGAGGCGGTGATATCCAGACCCAATGGCCAGCAGTCACCATCTGCATCCCTGTGCAAAAGTCTCCGAGCGGACATTTGGTGATGGTCATTGACGACTTTGACAGAACTGTGCAGGCACCGGGCGGCGTACCCGACGGCAGTGTGCAACTGCAAGCGCCTTTTGACGAGATGGAGACGGAGACAGAGGACACGACACCGGCGGCTGCCGCTTCTCCTGAAGAGGCTGACCAGAGGTCGATCCTCGGATCTCAATGAGTTGAGTCCCCCGCAGGGGACACCCCAGCTCTCTTGCAATGGAACCAACGTCGTGTCCCAACCGCGCGCTAGTGATGGGGCTCGCCTCTTCGATAGCTCGAGCTCTTGGGCAGCTCTTATGGCGGACGCGATCGTTCCATCCAACAGAGATTCTGTCTCCATCCTTCCTCTGCTCGCCTCAGCGAAGTCGCGCGACATGAATACCAGCAGGTGTGGATTATTATGCCGCCTAGCCATATCTATCCAGGAAATCAGTGCAATCGCGCCAGTGGGCAACTATATCAGTTACTATCTTCACGCGTGACATAAAACATACCCTGTGCTGCTGTGGACATGGCGGGAAAATCGGACCTCGCCGCAAAAAAGGTCACAAACCCAGCAGTCGGCATGAGACTGGTCGCCCATCAGGCCCCACAGACGAATCGCACCAGAACCCAGGGTCGCCACGATTTTACAGGGGGGCTAGCCTGCTGTGCGCATGCGCGCAGGGCTTGGTGCGCCAGACCTCTTGGCATTGGACCACCTGGCCGCCCCGCGGCCGAGGATCATGTGCCCAGGTCCTAGGCCGAGGGGATCAAGGCAGAGGTGATGCTGCAGCTCCACGCGCGACTGGTCACACACTACGGCTTGGTCCGAGCAGCGTCTCCTGCTGAGGCAGAGGCAATGATTGTAGGACCCACCAATGCCCCTGCTGTTTTTTTGGCGAGGAGGCTCCGGCAGCTTCGCCAATTACCCAGCGCGCTGAACCCGAGACTGTTCTTAAGGACGATAATCCGAATTCCGACTCGAATGTAATGCATCACGATATCAACAAGACGCGTAAGGCAAATAAGACCAATTCAGGAGGCCTTTAGCTTCGGAAGATGTCAGTCGTGGGTGGATATCGACACGCCCTCAATTGACGAACATTGGACGATGCGCCGCTCCGGTTATGCCTTGCATGGCCCAACCAATCAGAGCTCAGATCGACGCCCTCCGCTTTTTTCTGCAGCTTTAGGGTTCCTGATTGCACAGTCGAAGATGGCCCCGTGAAGGCTTCGGAGAAGCGAGTGAGCGACTCGAAAAGTACCCGAAGCGCCGCAAGAGGATCCGTGGGGCCCCAGGGAGCCTCCCAGGGAAGCTCGCGACGGTTTGAGGAGCGTTCGACCTGTCCCAACCGACGTGTCCTGCGTGTTCCAGGGGGACTCCCAGCCAGCTCCTGACGAGAAATCATCATGGTTCCAGTGTGCCTTTACGATGATGCCGGAGGGCCCCCAGAGACATGGGTACATATTCGGGCGAAGAGAACTGTGCACATGCACCGATCCTGGCAAGGCCCGTCCTTGACCCAGGGTCCGTGCATACGCCTCCCTGGCCAAGGCAGGAGGGCGTATGCACCGATCCTGGGCTCAGGATGGGCCCAGCCAGAATCGGTGTATGTGCATAGTTCTTTTTTCGGGGGCGGAATAGATGGGGTTAATGACTAGGGGGGGTGGATATCATGGCGGGGGCCATGATATTTCCCCAGATTGCATGGCGCCTCTTCGTATTTCATGACGTCCCCGGCCCCCCCGCTGGGCCGCGCACATGCCGCCGGTCATGATTTGCACCCCTCCCTCTTGGACACCCCCCTCTTGGCCGCCCCCGATAGTTCTTTTACCTCTACATATGCATGCAGCCCGTGAACCAGCTCCACGAGGAGGCCCTGCTTGCAGTTCGACGGGGCCCCGAGGCAGCCCCGAGAGCGCCGCACGAGAGCTCCGCGGGGGGGGCGCCGGCGGAGGGGGTCGGGGTGCCCGCCTCCAGGCTGCATCATCTCTAGGTTGGAGGAGGAGGAGGAGGATGAGGAGGAGGAGGAGGAGGAAAGGGAGGATGAGGAGGAGGAGGAGGAGGAGGAGGAGTCGAGGAGGAGGCAAGGAGGTAGGAGAGGAAAGGAGGGGTATGTGAGGAGTGAGGAGGCGGAGGAAAGGAGGAAGGAAGAGGAGGAGGAAGGAGAGGAGGAGGAGGAGAGGAGGAGGAGTAGGAGGTTATAGGACCAGGGGATGAGAGAGAGGGAGGAGGAGGAAGGAGGGAGGAGAGGAGGAAAGGAGGATGGAGGAGGAGGGGGAGGGGAGGGGGAGGGGGAGGGGGAGGATGGGGGGGAGGGGTAGGGGTAGGGGAGGGGGGAGGAGGAGGAGGAGGAGGAGGAGGATGAGGAGGAGGAGGAGGGGAGGAGGAGGAGGAGGAGGAGGAGGAGGAGGAGGAGTCTTGGAGTTATATGGCCACCGCCCGCGCGCGCGCAGCTTGTGTCTGTTTGAACTTGCTCGTTGGGGTGGTGTGAAAAGTCGCATCCCCAGGGGATGCCAGTTTTGCCCAATTTGACCTGCCAAAGGGGTTCTTACTTGATTGAAGGTTTTTGTGTCTACTGGTGTTACGTTGCCCGTTGCTTGGAGGTTCCCCAGTTTCCCCGGGTTCCTCAGGTTCCCGCGCCTCGTTCCGGGTTCCCGGGGTTCTTCGGGTCTCCGGGTTCCCCGGATTCCTTGGGTTCCCCGGATTCGTCGGGTTCCGGGTTCATTTTGTACACAGCCTCCTCTCCACGGTCTTGTGCCTGCCCAGTCTGGGAGGGGGGAGGGCTTTTTAGAAGCACCCCTGCTTTTTAGAAGGCGCGGGCCTGAAGTATAGGTGTGAGGCTGGCCCCTTCTAAGAAGCAGCCTCCTTCTAAGAAACCCTCCCCCTTCCCCCCACCCCCTTGTGCGCGCCGCCAACTGTGTGTGTGTGTGTGTGTGTGTGTGTGTGTGTGTGTGTGGGGATTGTGTGCACAAGAGGCGTGCTCCCGGAGAGGGGGCAGGTCTTCCTCTGGAAGTCGGCGGGGCCTCTCCTCTGCGCAGCCCCGCGGGCTCGAGGCGGCGCCACTCCCGGCTTGCTCGGCCGAGGGCTCATGGGCTTGTTTTCCACCACCACCACCACCACCAGAAGTTGGACAGAAAGGAGCTGGAGGAGGAGGAGGACGACGAAGAAGAGGAGGAGGAGGAGGAGGAGGAGGAGGTGGAGGAGGAGGACGAGGAGGAGGAGGAGGACCCCCTCCCCCTCCAAGGTATAGTGGTGGTGGTGGAAGACAGGCCCGTCAAAGGCGGCATGTCGCTGGCGCGGAACGTGGCTCTCCTGCGCAGACGCGAGCTGAGGGCGAGCTCGACGCAGCACGACGAAGCAGGCGCGAGCCGCGAGCACGGCGCGGGCACGACGCCCGCCGCCCCCCCCTTCGACCTCACGGTGGGCGTCGTGCAGAGCCGCGCTCACGGGGGAGGAGTGCGGCGGCCGCTGCCAGGCGCCCGTGGCCGAGCCCGAGGGTGCGGTGGCGCCGCCTTTCCCCGAGGAGGCGCCTGGGAGGGGCTCGACGTGCAGTGGGGGCGCGCCCCAAGAAGCCATACTCCCGATTTCGTAGTACAGGGAGGGGGGTCTCATCTCGGGGGGGGGGTCTCTTCCAGGCTGTCTTGGAGGGCCTGGGGGGGCTGGGGACGATGTTTTGGAGGGTTCTCCCACGGGGGAGGTCTGAAATGGCTTGTCTTGGAGAGTCCAGACCCCCTCCCTTTTATTACGAAATCTGGAATACGCTTTTCGTCAGGGCATCCTGGGTTTCTTCGCTCCGCGCGCTGCGCGGTGACTTCCCGCAGCCGAAGAGGCTGCTGCGTTCGGGCTGCTCCGGGGTCCCTCTCAGATGCACCTCGCGCGCGGGTCTTCAGTGTTGGGTTTCGGGGGGGGGTTCTTGCGGCCGCGCCCGCACGGCACACGCCGTGCCGTCTGGCCGGTCAGGCAGCCAACCAACTCGGCGAAGAGGTCTGGGTGTGCGGGCGCTCCGCCGTCCCTCCAGGCCTCCGAGAGTGGGTCCGAGTAGACGGGGTCGGAGGATCGCGCGGCACGGCCGATGCATCGGCGATGTGCTTCGATGTGGATCATGAATTTCTCAACGCCAGCGTCGCCGTTGCATCGCGATGCATCGCCGACGTCGCTGGTGCGTCGCTGGCGCATCGTCGATGCGTCGGCGATGCATCGGCGATGCGGTGCAATCCCCTGGCCCCATCTATCCGGTCCTTATCCAGAAGGCTTCTAGTCCCACAGCCTGAGTGCTGCTGGGGCGTGCGTCCATACAACCACGACTTCCCTCGCCGACCAGGCCAGACTTAGTGTGTGGTGTGTTCTTCGATCCCGCGCTATTTTGCCTTCGTGGTCCTCCTCATCATCCGATTCCATAGGCTTACGCCACATCCGCCGACCCCTCCATGAGCTACTGCGCCTCCAGGACTGCATTCCACGAGGCTTGTCCGAATCATGACACGGCGCTCGACATCGTTCCTGTTGCCTCGTTGCTTTTATCGTAGTTTCCAGGACCCACGCTTCGTCCAGATCCGTTCCCTGGCGGCCCCCGGTGGGCTCCTCCTCCTCTTTTTGATACTATTATGATTATGTTTCTTCTTCTTCTTCTTCCTCCTTCTCCTCCTCCTCCCCCTTCTTCTCCTCCTCCTCCTCCTCCTCCTCCTCCTCCTCCTCCTCCTCCTCCTCCTCCTCCTCCTCCTCCCCCCCTCCTGTTCCTCCTCCCCATCCTTATCCTCATACTTTTCCTCCTCCTCCTTCTTCTCGTCCTCTTCTCGTGCTCCTAGTCGCTCCTCGCTCCATCTGCTCCTCCTCTTCCTCCTCCTCTCCTCCTCTTTCTCATCCTCATCCTCATCCTCGTTCTCTTCCTGTTCCTCCGCCTCCTCCTCTTCCTCCTCCTCCTCCTCCTCCTCCTCCTCCTCATCCTTCTTCTCAACCTCCTCACTCGTACTCCTCCTCACTCATGCTTCCTTGTTCTTCTTCTCCTCCTCCTCCTCCTCCTCCTCCTCCGCTTCCTCCCCCTCCTCCCCCTCCTCCTCTCATCCTCCTCCTCCTCTTCCTCATCATCCTTCTCCTCCTCCGCTTCTCGTGCTCCGCCTCGCTCCTCGTTCCTTTTCCTTCTCCTCCTCTTCCTCCTCCTCCTCCTCCTCCTTCTCCTCCTCCTCCCCCTCTTCTCCTCCTTCTCCTCTCCTCCTCCTGCTCCTCCTCTCCTTCCTCCTCCTCCTCCTCCCCCCTCTTCCTTCTTCCTTCTCCTCTCCTCTCCTCTCCTCTCTCCCTCCTCCTCTTCTCCTTCCTCCTCCTCCTCCTCCTCCTCCTCCTCCTCTCCCCTTTCCTCTTCTCCTCCTCTTCCTCCTCCTCCTCCTCCTTTTCTTCTCGTCTTGTGCTCGTGCTCCTCGCTCCTCGTTCTTTTCTCCTCCTCCTCTCCTCCTCCTCCTCCTCCTCCTCCCCCTCCTCCTTTTCATTCTCTTCTCGTGCTCCTCTCGCTCCTCGCTCTTCTCTTCTGGTTTCTCCTCCTCCTCCTCTTCCTCCTCCTCCTCTTCCTCTTTCTCCTCCTGTTTCTCCTCCTCCTCCTCCGCCTCCTTCTCCTCCTCCTTCTTCTTCTCGTCCTCTTCTCGTTCCACTCCTCGCTCATCGCGCCTCCCCCTCCCCCTCCTCCTTCTCCTCCTCCTCCTCCTGCTCCTGCTCCTGCTCCTGCTCCTACTCCTCCTCTGCCTCCGCTCCTCCTCCTCGTCCTCCTCGCCCCTGTCTCGCCCTGCCCCTGTCCCCCCATGAAGGCTGCCCTCCTCCGTTTTACCCCCCTTCCCCTCCGCGCGCGCCCCGGCGCGCGATTCTCGGTGTGGCTTCGGCGGCGGCTCCCTCCTGTCCTCGCGGCTCCCACTGGGGCGTCGTGTCGTCAAGAGACGGCTCAGGATGAAAGGCCGGTCCCGGAGAAGGGGTCGGGCCAATCGCTACCCTTCTGTCAACAATCAGGGGCAACAATCGCTACCCTTCTGTCGTTTCGCCTTTTTGGGTTTCCTGGGAGGCCCTCGTCGCCATCGCCAGATTCGCCTCGGAATCCTGGTCAGAACGCACCCCAGCAGAGGTCCGGGGAGCAGCGGTACTGGTACCTTCTGGTTTCCCCAATTGGTACGGAACGAACGGGGAGGAAGACCGACGGCCGTTCTTGCTCACTTTTGGAACAGGACCCGCTGTCGGCGTCGCCGCGGACGTTGCCCATTTTGGACCAGAGGTCGCCTGCCCCACAGCCGCCGCGGCCGGTTCTGGACACACGCTGTGCTGTGGGGCCTCGTGCCCGCCTTTGCCGCATCCATTTCTCTGGAGGGAAGGCAGGCACAGACAAGCAAACGTCGCTTGCCACGACAGTCTGGAAGATATGGGACATGGATCGGGGGAGCGTAAGACCCGGGTTTGCCAGGACTCGGGTTCGCCATCGTTTTTCGCCATCGTTTGTTGACGACCGCGACTCGGATTTTGACGAGTAGGAGTTTCGTGGGATGTCTGCAGCGGGAGGCCTCGTCAAAATGCAGGCTCGGCCTCGTCATTTTTTTGGCGACATCGTCGGGGATTTCCGAGTCCCCTGTACCCGGGTCTTACGCCCCCTTGAATGGAGGGGGAGACGAACATCCAGCACATGTGGGGCAACTTCTGGGGAGTCTGGGAATCCACGTCTCTACAGGGCAGTTTGTAACACACGCCCCGCGTGCGGATCGTGCAATGAAGATGCAGGGACCCAGTACTAAAAGCAACGATGAGTTCAGGCATAGATTTATTCATAAGTTCATCATGTACTCCAGATTTCGTAATAAAGGGAGGGGGGTCTCATTTCGGGGGGGGTCTCTTCCAGGCTATCTTGGAGTGCCTGGGGGGGTCTGGGGACGATGTTCTGGAGGGTTCTCCCACGGGGGGGGGTCTGAAGTGGCTTGTCTTGGAGGGTCCAGACCCCCTCCCTTTTATTACGAAATCTGGAGTATTAACAATCCTATCTATATTTTTAAACACCCCATGTATCAGAACCTGCCCTGTATTTGTCCGTGCTTCTCCGGGCCCCTTCGCTCCTCGGCGCCCCGAGAGGCCGGGGGCCCCTGCGCGGTGCCGCCCCAACTCTCGCCCTGCGGCCGTGCCCGCGGGGCGCCGGCGCCGGCGCCGCACACGTGAGATAGGCTGAGCAGCGAGCGCGCCATGGGCAGGGGGCCACGCGCGAGCCCTGCCCCTACACCTCTCAGCGAGCGAAGAACGGTGTAAGATAAGCTTTTTCGCCGTCGGGGACGCCTGCCCCTGAGCGGCTGGAAAGTTTCTACCCCTACGGTGCCACCGTAAGGGTATAAACTTTCCAGCCGCCCTGGGGCAGGTGTCCCCGTTGGCGAAAAAGTTTATTTTATACCGTTCTTCGCCCCTACCCCTCGGCGGCCCTGGCGTGGAGAAGATCGGGGTCAGCATCGAGCCACATCGCCGATGCATCGGCGATGCGGCGTGATCCTCCGACCCATCTGCCTGGGCCCCATCTACCGAGGCCTAGATCATGGGAGCATCCCATGTGATCATGCTAGCTCTTGCGAGTCGACGCTGGCCGACGCGGCTCGACGCTGCTCGACGCTGCTCGACGCTGTTCGACGCTGAATCGCGATTTCTGAGGGGGAGGGTGGGGTTCCCTTCGCTCGGGAGCTCCCGTGCGAAGTGAACCCCCGCCCCCCCCCCTCAGAAGTCGTGGGGGGGCAATATGGGGCAGGGTTCTCGAGGTGGCCTCCCTGCATGGGGGGATGGCGGCTCCGGGGGGGCAGGGCTCGATGGGGCCCAAAAGGAAGCCTCGGCTGCGAAGGAGGAGGAGGAGGAGGAGGAGGAGGAGGGAGGAGGAGGAGGAGGAGGGAGGAGGATGAGGAGGAGGAGGAGGAGGAGGGAGGAGGAGGAGGAGGAGGGAGGAGGATGAGGAGGAGGAGGAGGAGGAGAGAGGAGGAGGAGAGGAGGAGGAGGAGGAGGCGGAGGAGGAGGAGGAGGAGGAGGAGGAGGAGGAGGAGGAGGAGGAGGAGGAGGAGGAGGAGGAGGAGGAGGAGGAGGAGGAGGAGGAGGTTTCGAGACTCGAGGGGGTTTCCGGCGCTCTCGCCGGCTCTCGGCGGCCTTCACGCTCCGGGCTGCCTCCCGGCAGCTGCGCCTCGCCGACGAGCGGCCGCCCTGTGGGCCGAGTCGTGGCCCGAGGAGCCACCGGGCACGGGGATGGGCTCCGGGGGTATGCATCGACCCTGGACGCCTGAAGTGGGTACTGAAAGAATGGGTACTATGCCCAACATCGGGCCAGACGAAAGGGGGGGATTGGGAAAGGGGGGGTTACGAAATTTGCTGCATGCAGCTGGTTTCGGCCTCACCGAGGGGCCCATTCCTCGATACATAGCTCCCTCCGGCGCCGGGAGGTGCCGGGAAAATCAGCTACGTGAGCTGATTCTCAAACCCCCCCTTTGCTATCCCTCCCTTTCGCCCGACCCGACAACAGCAGTTCCTGTTCATTTTGAACAGGACTCGCTGTCCACGCCGCCGCGGCCCGTGTCCACACGAGACAGGAGGTCGCCCGCCCGACAGCGGCCGCTGTTGCTTTGGGACAGCATTTGCTGTTGGGCATCGTACCCATTCTTTCGGCACCCATTTCGGGTGTCCAAAGTAATACAAGGGAGGGGTTCTCAACCCTCCCAGACGAGAAGTTTTAGCCCCCCCCCGTGGGAGAACCCTCCAGAACATCGTCCCCAGACCCCCCAGGCCCTCCAAGATAGCCTGGAAGAGCCCCCCCCCGAAATGAGACCTCCCTCCCTTTATTACGAAATCTGAGGTATGCATCGACCCCCAATCGTCCACTCATCACCGATGCAGGCCCGACAGCTCGCACCCCGCCCAGGAGCGCGTGGATTTTTCTGTCGGGGTTCGATCGCCGATCCATCGGCGATGTACTGCCCATTCCAGCTGGATTTTTTCCCCGTGAGCCGGTCCCCCTTCGCTGGTAAGCCTCAGTTTTTGCTCCTTGGCGCATCGTTTTTTTCAACCGCATGCCTCAGTCAAGAGTTCGAGCTGACAGTGCGAGACGTCTCGACCAGCCTCGACCCACGCGAGCGGTTTGTTCTGTTCGCCTGGTGACGTGTATGCATGTGCTGTTCCTCCTGCGACATGCAGACCTGCCGTTTTTAATGTTTTTAATGTTTTAATTTGCTGGATTTAGTATTTAATGTTTTTTGTGTACGCTCTCTCTCTTTCTGTTTCTGTCTCTCTCTCTGTCTTTGTCTTTCCTTCTTTCACTCTCTGCCTGTCTCTCTCTCTCTCTCTCTCTTTCTCCCCCCCTGCGGTTCTAGTCCATCTCATCCAGGCGAGCTGCCTCGATCAGGGAAGTGCAGGAGCAGGTATGGGGGGTTGGCGCTGACATGGGGTTCCATTTTTCGCCTTGTCGGCGCCCGTGGCGGCGTAAGTCTGGCCAGTCCGCTGGCATGCGCTAAAACGCCAGCAGTAGCCATGCCAGAATCCGAGACTCTCTCTCTCTCTCTCGAATGCGAACATCCTTCAAAGGTCGTAGGAGAATCAATGACTTCGGCTTCTTCGGGCCCCATTGGGGGTCCTCTTGTGGGCCCTTTGGCCCTTTTGGGCTCTCGTTGAGGCACCTTGAGCCGTCTTGAGGCCATATTGGGCCGCCCTGGGGCCATCTTGGGCCGTCTTCGAGGCATATTGGGCCATCTTGGTTGCCTTGGTTGCCTTGGTTGCCTGTCTTGGCCGTCTTGGGAGCTCGGGATGCGGGCTCATCGTTTTTGATTGTTATATTACAGCGGGTCGTTGACTCGGGAGCGCGGATCCGTATTGTTGTTTATTATGGATCGCGGCCTCGGCAGGAAGGCAGTGGCGATCCAGAGAATCAGGCTGGAGAGGTCCAATTCGGAAATCGAATTCGGAAGTCGGAAATCTGAATTCGGATATCCGGGTTCCGGGTTCCGGGTTCCAGGTTCCGGATTGGAATTTCGAGTTTGGATATCCGGGTTCCGGGTTCCGTGTTCCAGGTTCCAGATTGGACCTCCGAGTTCGGATACCCGGATTCCAGGTTCCGGGTTCCGAGTTCGAGGTTTCGGATTGGACCTCCGAATTCGGATATCTGGTTTCCGGGTTTCCGGGTTCCAGGTTCCGGATTGGACCTCCGAATTCGGATAGTTATCCGGATTCGGAGTTCCGGGTTCCAGGTTTTGGACTGGACCTCCGAGTTCGGATTCTGGACTCCGGGTTCCGGGTTCCAGGTTCCGGATTGGACCTCCGAATTCGGATGTGCGGATTCGTGGTTTTGGGTTCGGGATTCCAGGTTTTGGGTTGGGCTTTCGAATTCGGATAATCAGATTCCGGATTCCGGGTTTCGGGTTCCAGGTTTCTGATTGGACCTCCCAATTCGGATATGCGGATTCTTGGTTCCGGGTTCCGGATTCCAGGTTTCTTGGTTGGGCTTCCGAATTCGGATATCCGGATTTTGGGTTTGGGTTCTGGGTTCCGCAGGTAGGCTGGTCCTCCGAATTCGGATTTGCATATCCGGGGTTCCGGGTTCTGGGTTCCAGGTCCCTGAGGTCTTAGATAACTATCATATGGTTTCATGAATATGTTGATTATGCGCGATAGTTACGTAACCATTTGCAGTGTTGCGTATAGTTCTACCTCATATATTATTGTGTATGCGGTTCGCTTCCATTCTTCATCTTGTATGTGCATTTGTTTCTCTGCTTTTCTCTTGTATGTGCTGTTTCACCCCGCCACCTTCGCACTGGACGTTTTTTTTGTTTCGGCGACTCGCGTAAGAAGCCGTTGGAAGTTGCACTCGCGTGCGCGTCGGCATAACGTGCACGGCAGCGGCCTGACCGCACTCATTTGAACACTCCTCCTCCTCCTCCTCCTCCTTTTCCTCCTCCTCCTCCTCCTCCTCCTCTTCCTCCCCCCCTCTTCCTCGTCATGTTCATCCTCCCCCATCGGTTATAGATAACAATTGGACGCGGCTCGTGAGCAGAATGCAACGTGGCACCGCGTAGGACCATATCACAAAAAAACAATCACGCCTTCGCGGGCGAGTGGAGCGACCCCGCGGCCCGCCCGCGACCCGCCTGCGACGCGACCTGCCCGCGACCCGCCCGCGCTGCAACCGCCCCGCCAACGACCCGCCCGCGACGCGACCCGCCCGCGACCCACCCGTGCCGCGCCCCACCCTGCGACCCGCCCGCGGCCCACCTGCGCCGCGACCCGCTCGCGACCGATTAGCGCGCGCTCGCGACCCGCCTGCGCCGCGACCCTCACGCGCAGCGACCCGCCCAGCCACTGGGTCGGCGGACGGCCAGAGGCAGCAATAAGGGAAATTCCAGCGTTTGGGTCGCACCCCGCTCGGCAAGGAAAGGACAGAGCAGCTCGCGGCGCGCAGCGCCCCTCGCCCGAAGGAAACGCCCATGCGCCAAGGCAACCCTCGGCGTCGCGACGTCGGCCCCAGGGCCTCGGCGAGGGCCGAGATCGCGGACTGCCCTGGCCAGGCGCGGTGGTGGGGCATAGGTGCCTTCTTCGGGGGCCCATGCAAATCTGATAACGCGGGCGCGGCCTATCGCACACGACCCGAGCTTTGCATATAAAAAACTAGGTCAGTCATCGCAACGCTCCTGCGGGCAGATCGTGATCAGGGCCACGGTGCGCTCCGCCGATGGCTGGATCAAGAAACAGCACAGATAGGGAAGGGGAGGAGGAGGGGGAAGTGGCCTCCAGCCATCCTCACAGGCCCCCCATCCCCTCTCCCCCCCTGGGCGCCCCCCCTTCATTGTGAAACGGTGAAGGGGGAGGGGCTGCGAGAGGGAACGGGGGTCGGGGAATATGACTGGAGGTCAGTTACCCCCCCTCCCCCCATTCCCCGAGGGGCTCGAGCCCTCGATCCCGAGAGGAAGCGGTGGCAGATTACTTGCCATGCAGCGCGTGCACTTATTTGTATATATGTGCATACGGATATGCATATACACATATATACATATATGTGTACACCTATGTTTAAGTATATTCAGACATTCGTGTTTATATAAACATAAACACCATGGATGTGTCCGCTCCCCTCCTCGAGTATGCATCCCGCGAAAAGGTGGACGACTGACCCCTTGGCCCTCATCTCATCTCCCTCCTTCTCATCCTCATCATCCCCCTTATCCTCATCTCCCCTTCCACTGCCGCATCCCCCACTCCCTCCCCCTCCCTCCTCACCCACCGACCCCCACACCACCTCCCCTCACCATTCACTCTCACACACACACACACACCCCTCCCCCCACCCCCTTATCACCCTCGCATTCTCCACCATCACAAACCCCCGTCCTCCCCCCCCCGCCATCGCTCCCCCCGCCCCCACCCATCCCCTCTCAACCCTTCTCCCCCCAAACGCACCTACCCCCCATCGTGCCAACCCCGCCAGCTTCCACCAACCCCTCACTGTCGGATTTTTTGTTGAGGGGGTGGTTGTTGCAATTCGTTCGGCCCAGCCCGTCTCGCAGGCCAGAGTTGGCCCAAAAGTATCGGCGTCCAAAAACCAGTTGCACTGCTCCTGGGGGAGGGGTGCCACATGCCATCACCCTCCCACCTCGCTCCCACCCACCCCTCCTCTCCTACTCCCTCCCCATCCCCTTCTCCACCTGATCCCGCTCATATTCGCCCTCCTTGATCATCGCCACTGACCCCCCGAATCCCGGCATCTCTCCGCCTCCTACCACCCAACCCCCCAAACCCCTCCCCCCCCCCTCTACACCCCGCCCCCACCCCCACCCCCCACCCCCTGCAACCCCTCTACCCCCCTCATTCCCCCCGCACGCACACACACACAGACACACGCACACGCACACACACACACACACGCACGCACGCACACGCACACGCACACGCCAACACGCACACGCACACGCACACGCACACGCACACCCAAGCACCCCACGCACGCACGGACGCACACAAACACACAACACACACACGCCCACACGCACACGCGCACGCACACGCCTACACACACACGCACACACACACACGCACACACACACACTTACACGCACACGCACTCGCAAACACACACGCACAAGCACACACACACAGAGACGCACACACACACAAACCCGCCACAACCGTGCCGCAATTTGCCCGCCATCCCAAGCACCGACCATCATATATGTGTAGATGTATGTGTATCTATGTATATATATATATATGACAGGAGGGTCGACAGAGGGCACGTGTGTGTGCGTGTGTGTGTGTGTGTGTAAATGTTTGTGTGTTTGTGTGAGCGTGCGTGCGTGCGTGCGTGCGTGCGTGCGTGCATGCGTGTGTGTGTGTGTGTGTGTGTGTGTGTGTGTGTGTGTGTGTGTGTGTGTGTGTGTGTGTTCGTGTTTGTGTTTGTGTGTGTGTGTTTGTGTGTGTGTGTGTGTGTTTGTGTGAATGTGGGTGGGAGTGAGGGGGTGCTGTGGGTTGCGAGGAGGGGGGCCCTCGTCGCCGCTGGATGCGCTCGGACACCTGAGTAGGAGCCTGGGCCCAGAGGCCTGTGATGTATGCAACTGGAAGCCCGCAAGCTCGGCGACCCAGGTGACGCCAAGCAGAGCGTCACCGACCGCTCGGCCCCCCGATGGTGCTCCCCGAGGGTGTCCCGAGCGCCATGCAGTTACGCTTTTTGATGACATGTTCTTGCGGCTGGTGATGTAAAGTCGGCGCATGCGGCGGGCCTCAGTCGACATGCGTTCTGGCGGGAACCCGAGCCCCAGCCCCAATGTAGCACTCTCATCCCCGATCATAGAGATGGCGCGCCATGGACGGGGACGAATTGAACGATATCATAATGAGCCAGTATACGGCATCATCATAGTATCGGAGAGGAGGGTAGCATACTACGATATCATAATGGACCAGTGCCACCGCCAGTTGGAGGGTTCGGGCTCGGCCGACGGCGCGAAGCGCATCGCCGATGAGAAAGGCGACGGCGATGGCATCGCCGATCACGGGGCGGCCTCCAGCAAGGCCGACGGCACGGCGGCCACGGATGAAAAAAAAACGCAGGACCCAATTGAACCCAACGAGCTCGCGCAGGGAAGGCTACCCAACCTCTAAGCTCGACGTGGGCGGCGGCTCGGTCAGCCTAGGGCCTCTACGTGTCGCCGCGCCAGGGCTTCAAGCCATTGGCGATCAGGCGGTGGAAGGATTGTGCTGTTAATATCGGGGGAACGCACCGCGGGGGATGCAGATGATGGAAGACGGGGCACTGGGGGTAGGGAGGGGGAGGAGGAGGAGCTGGAGGAGGAGGAGGACAACGACGACGACGACGGGGAGGACGAGAGGGGGAGGAGGAGGAGGAAGAGGAGGAGGAGGATGACGAGGAGGGAGAGGAGGAGGATAAGGGGGAGGATGAGGAGGATGAGGAGGAGGAGAAGGCGGAGGAGGAGGAGGAGGAGGAGGGTGGGGAGGGGGAGGAGGATGATGAGGATGATGATGAGGAGGAGGGTGAGGACGGGGGAGGACGATGAGGATTTAGGGGGGGGGGTGAGGAGGCGGCGGCGTGGAGGAGGAGGAAGGACAGGAGGAGGGCGGATGATGTGGATATAAGCGGGAGATGGCGAGCACATGCTTTGTATGCACAGGTATCTAGACTGATGTGCACGCGTCCGTCTATATCTATGCTTACTGCCAAACCCTATGTGTACTTATCGCGCGCGATGTCTGCGCAGTCCCTCTGCTCGCATTGTACGCTACGGTATGTGTGAGCGATCGTATGCATGCGCGCATGTACATATGTTTACACGTTATATGCCTCATGTCTATAGTCGGGATAAGCGTCGCTGCAATCACCTTCGAACAAGGGTCACCAGATTGCACCACCAGCGTCCGCCGATCATGTGGCGCAGGGCAAGGAGAGAAAACATACGGAACTCGAATGTCATGCGATGCGCGAACTTGGCGCAATCTCGAAGAAACACGTTGAGCCCCTCGTCAACCCAATTCGCGTACAGCTTTGGGCTGCCGTGCCAATCGATCCTCGACGAGGCAGGAAGGGGACTAGAGAGGAGGAGGAGGAGGAGGAGGGGGAGGAGGAGGAGGAGGAAGGAGGAGGAGGAGGAGGAGGAGGAGGAGGAGGGGGGGGGAGGAGGAGGGGAAGGAGGAGGAAGAGGAGGGGGGAGGAGGAGTAGGAGGAGGAGAAAGATGAGGGGGAGGAGGAGGAGGAGGAGGAGGGCGGGAATGGGGATGATGAGGTGAAGGAGGGGGGAGGGGGGCCTCTCGCTTGGGCTCCTCGGGGTCCCCGCTTGGGTCGTCGTCGTCGTCGTCGTCGTCGTCGTCGTCGTCGTCGTCGTCGGGGTCGTCGTCACCCTGCCCTTGGGCACCCCCAGTGCGGGGCTTGTCGGTCGCCGCACCGCCTGCGCCCTGCGAGTGGCCGCCCTCGCGAAGGCCCGCCCCGCGGGGGATCGGGGGAGGTGACGCGGAAAAGTGAGGGAAGGAGGGCAGCAGCAGAGCGCGGGCCACAACGGCGCCACCGGCCAGGGTCGAACTCGGGGGCGGGGGGCACGACGAGTTGGTATTCGGGTCTGGGCTGATGGGTTTGATTTATCCCGATCGGTCTTGTCAGTGAGGTGGAGGAAGAGGTGGTGTTTCGGTGTCGGGCTAATCCCCGCCTCGAAGCAGCAACGCAAATGCACGTCGCAAAGATCTTTCAACTGCGCTGAAATGTGCGGCGGTACAACGATCGGGTTCTCGTGGACTATCCCCATCCAGGATGGAAGGGAATCACATGCCCCAATCAGAGCCCCCCCGAATACGGCGCTGCCTCCGAGGACCTCCAACTCGTGGTGAACGAACTTCAACATAAGATGCGCCTCCGCGGCCTTCAGAGACATCGAGCACCCGTCGTGG